TGCTCTTCTCTGCACTCTTTCTAGAGTCTTGTTGGAACCTGACTGGGAAGACTGCAAATGACGATCACATGACTCGGGATACCACAGTCCTCATAAAATACGTGCCACTTGCCAAATACCTGTATTTTGACCATGTGACCTTAGGGATCCTGCTATGGTCATAAGTGCAAGGATCAGTTTTTTTCAGTGTTGTTGTAACTTCAAGGGCCACTAAATGAATTATTGTAAACTAAGGACCACCAATAAACAGTGAATAAAAATATAGGCCATAAAACTACGGCGACCTAAAACATCCGTAGAAAACGAAAAAAAGCGGGGAGGCACAAATCTGTCGGATTGGTTCTCGATCGGGGCTCAGACGTTTCGAAACATCTGGAACTCACGCAAGCTATCTTGTTCTCACCTGGGTTAGGCTGGAGATATTCTGTAGCTCTGGATAAGAGTTCTGCAACTGCCTTGCCAGTGACGTCAATTTTCTGCAAGAGGGAAATGAAATATCTTTAGGTGGGCTGTGCAAATCATTTTCAATTGGATCCCGCTTTTTATTCAACGCCTCCGATTTTGACTCCTAAATTGGAAACAGGCTGTTTTGACCATTTTGGAAGTGTTTTGAACGTGAAACATTTCTAAAGTTAGTGCTAGAAGGAAGGGGGGATTGTGGAGAGGAGGAGGAGGAGGAGGCAGCGGCTGTGGGATCCTTGGTGTTATCTGAGCTTGCTTGTTTTGTTACAGACGTTTCATTACACTAAGTAGCTTCATCATAATCCTAGCACACTGATGATGTTACCTAGTTGGGTAATGAAACGTCTGCAAGAAAGCAAGCACACTCAGAGAACACCAAGGACCCCACAATCCTCCTCCTCCACTCCATAAATCCCACTTCCTTCTAGTACTGATGATGTTACCTAGTTGGGTAATGAAACGTCTACAGGAAAACAAGCATGCTCAGAGAGCACCAAGGATCCCACAGCCGCTGCCACCGCCTCCTCCTCCTCCTCCTCTCCACAAGCCCCCCTTCCTTCTAGCACTGATGATGTTACCTAGTTGGGTAATGAAACGTCTGCAAGAAAGCAAGCACACTCAGAGAACACCAAGGACCATACTGTCCTCCTCCTCCACTCCACAAGCCCCCCTTCCTTCTAGCACTGATGATGTTACCTAGTTGGGTAATGAAATGTCAGCAGGAAAACAAGCACGCTCAGAGAGCACCAAGGACCCCACTGTCCTCCTTCTCCATTTCACAAACCCCACATCCATCTAGCACTGATGATGTTACCTAGTTGGGTAATGAAACGTCTGCAGGAAAACAAGCACGCTCAGAGAGCACCAAGGACCCCTCATTTCAACCCTGAGCTACAAATATTCTCCTTTATTGATTTCTAAGGTTGTTGAAACAATCCCTGTTGGACATGAGTCAGGACGCTGGATTCAAAAGAATTCAATTTTGAACCATCGCTGATCTTTAACAATATATGACAGGGACTGTTTCTTTTGTATATTACACACAAATTTGTGCTCTCCTCTAGACCTTTACCTAACTATGGGCCTATTTTAGAAAAAAGGACGAAAAGGCCTGTGGAGTTATAATTAGAAATAAGTACCTTGCAATTAGCAGCCAGTACCACAGGCTTGCCTTACCTTCTCCATCTCTTGAAAGTCTTCATCAAGTTTGGTCCCTTCTGCTCCACTGATCTTCTCACTGAAAAGCTGCAGGAGGAAAAGAATAACGATATAACAATGGTACTGCACAAAAACCAAAGTCTATGGAGATTCTCAGTCCTCCAGGTCATGGTTGTCCCAAAGGTGCTTTGTCAAGAGGCAACTGGAGTTCCCGGTTTTTCTTCGAAGATGTTTGGCTTCTCATCCAAGAAGCTTCTTCAGCTCTGAAGAAGCTTCTTGGATGAGAAGTAAAATGTCTTCAAAGGAAAAAAAACCAGAAAGTCCAGTTGCCTCTTGAAAAAGCACCTTTGGGAGAACCCCAAGTAGCAATAGCACTTCAATTTATATATCACTTCACAGTACTTTACAGCCCTCTCTAAGCGGTCTACAGAGTCTCCTCCATACATTTGGTGAACATGTGTTTTGGCTATTGCCCTGTTCAGTGTATCATGTGTGCATGCTCTTTGTCGCACGAAAGTTGTTGCTTTGTCAGTCAAGGGAATTCCCATTTCAGGCGCAAGAACGAGACTTATCTCCCCTCCCCAGCTTATCTTTCTGGCCTGCCCCCTCCTCTTTATCACTTCTGGGCCTCGGCTTTACCAGTTCCACCTCCAAACCACACCAGGTTGTAGCAGATGTTTCCTCATAGTCATAGATCTTCGGGTTTCTAGGAACCACAAGAGTTTCTGGCCCACCAACATCACACACACACCTCCTTTAAATGTCTTCTGCTCATAACTCAACTAGCCCAGCAGTAACTACAATTACAATGAACGCACAACAATATGCGTGGACACCAAAGGGGCTACATTGGTGCAATCCAGACAAAAGAAAAGCACTCCATTTCCACTTCTTGAGACCACCATTATCAGAGAGAGAGACAGAGAGAGACATTTTCCTGGTTCGAATGCCATGCGAAACCATGATTTGTTTCAACCAAATTTAATAAACCAGGACTGGTTGGGATTGCACTACCAGCTAAGCCCTATTCAGCCTCCCAGCTTTGACAAGGTGGCCCTGCAAAAATTCAGCACTAAACCGATTCTCCTGTTCATTCCAACTTAAAAGATTTCTTGTTCTCACTCCTTTCCTTAAGTGTCCCAAACCCTGAAAGCTGACACTACAAAAAATATATATTTATATGATTTTGGTCTCATATACATGTGTGTTTTTTCATGGGTTTGAGGACGAGGGAAAGGAGCATGAGGCTTTTAAGCCTTCACAAAAATGAAAAGAGGAGGAAAAAATTCAATCCCACCTTTTCCAATGATTCCACTCTCTCTTTTATGCACACACACAAACACATTGCCCAAGTGATATCAACTGAAGCTCTTTGTAAGCTGGTAGGCTAAATTACAGCCCTTAAAAGTTAGTAACCTTTAGCACTGCTATAAACTGAGCTGGCCTCATTAAGGATCAGCTCAGTGTTAGAATGCTACCAGTGGGGTGGGGGGGGACTGATTTTACTACGCTGAAAGCTACTAAAATCTATTCCAATCATGGGCAGGCTAACCCTGGAGCATCTTCTGATAGTGTTTTACACCGTTACCAACAGGAATTAGAAACAGAACAAAAAGCTCCTAAGGAAAAGGCCCACACACATTGTCAACATATATCCATGTCCCTATTAAAAGGAGGACAAATTCAAGGAATAAAAGGTCCTTTATCCATACGGAAGAAAAATCCTTCCTTCCTTATTTATTTATCAAATGTATTCGCTGCCCGTCTCACAATTCATATGACCTCTCCCTCCTCTCTTCCTTATCAAATTTATTTGCTACCCATCTTGCAGTTCAAGTGATTCCTCCCTCCCTCATTTCCTTCCTTTTCACTCTTGATTTAGCAATAGCACTTAGACTTATATACCACTTCACAGTTTTTTACAGCTGTCTCTAAGCGGTTTAGAGTCAGCAAATTGCACCCCAACAATCTGGGTTCTTATTTTAACAACCTCAGAGGAATGGAAGGCCAAGTCAGCCTTGTGCCACTGAAAATCAAACTGCTGATAGTCGGCAGAACTAGCCTGCATTCACCCTGCCAACAAAAGTGTGCCTAGTCAAGGCTGTGGTTTTCCCAGTTGCAATGTATGGCTGTGAAAGTTGGACCATAAGAAAGTCTGAGCGCCAAAGGATGGAGGCCTTTGAACTAGAGTGCTGGAGAAGACTCCTGCAAGTCCCTTGGACTGCAAGACGATCAAACCGGTCAGTCCTAGAGGAGATCAACCCTGACTGCTCTTTAGAAGGCCAGATCCTGAAGATNAAATTCCTTCCTTTTCCTGAGGAGCCTGGTGAGGCCTCGCCTCCTCTGCCTCTAGTGAGTGCACGTCCCTGACCACCACCATCACTCCATGCACACGCTAGTTTTTTTTCTTTTTCTTTCTTTTTTCATTTCTGTTATAATTTTGCACCAGTGAGGTTAAAACCAATTTTGTTGTATTTAAGTACAATGACAATAAAGATTATACTTTAAATGGATGGTGCAGTCAAATACACAGTACAAGCAATAGCACGTAGACTTATATACCATTATAGTACTCCCTAAGCTGTTTACAGAGTCAGCCTATTGCCCATGAAGGAACTTCGTGGCAGGACTCAATCTAAACTATTTGCTTCTGTTAAGAATTGCTTGTGCTATTTTTCTGCTGTTAGGAATTATTTATTAGGAATTAATTCTGTAACCCTCGCTTAGTAAGAATGGTAACCTTTGCTATCTGCTTTCTGGCTTCTCTTGTTCGCTTCAAAGCTGGACATATCCGTGATGAGTAAATAAGAAAGATAGAACAAAACAGTCACCCAGGAACATCCTGCTCCACAGATAACGGGGCCAGAGCAGGGAGCTGCCCAGGAGCACAAACACATAAGGCTACAAGCGATGCTCTGTTAGATAATGAAAGCATGGACAGAGCAAGGACAAAGAATGCTCCATGGATAAGTGGGGCATGGACAAGACATTGCCCATGTTGGATAACAAACTTTTGTCTCTGATTGGCTAAATGTGGATATAAAGTTGTTGGGGTCATACTCTTTTCGGGTGTGGCTTTTTCCTTGCATGATTGTTGTCTATAAGCCATGGAATAAGCCCACTCAGCTCTTTCTTTGTACAAATAAAAGCTGTTATTTTCCAAGCCTCTTCTTGAGTCTCTCTCTCTCTCTCTCTTTGACATTCTGGTGAATCAAGTACATTTTGGGGACCTTACACCCCCAACAATCTGGGTCCTCATTTTACCGACTTTGGAAGCATGGAAAGCAGAGAGAACCTTGAGCTGGTCAGGATCGAGCATCTGTGGGCAGTCAGAGTTCAAATAGAGAAAGAGGTAATGATTGATCTAGAAAATGGCTTTTCTCTCTACCAATGAGAGCTTTTCCCTACCGTATTTATGTATACCGTATACTGTACATACTTATGAACGCTTTTTCTTTCTATACCAAGACCTTCTTGCCTGCCTCCCTTTTCCTTCCTTCCATCCATCCATCCATCCATCCATCCATCCATCCATCCATCCATCCATCCATCCTTTATAGATAAAGACTGTAACAAACCATCTCATTCCTTTTTGCTTTTTTTCCTTGCTTTTGTGATTTGATCAAACTGAACCTCGTGGGGCTTTTGTGGGAGATGCTCTTCATGTCACCCAGAATGAGTGTGATTCACTCCTTAATTAGGGATGGTACGATATAATGCTTTGCGCACATTGAAAGAAACTTGATGATAATCTCACAAAGGTCTGGCTCTGTTCTCCGATTTTCTTTCTAGAAGGTGTTGCTTGTTGTCGCCTTTTCTTTGATGTGGTTTTTCTAATGGTGCTTTGAATGAGATTAATGAGGTTTGTAGTGCAGAAAATGGCTGCTTTTTGTTCTAATTTTTGAGAAGTTTTATATTGTACTGTGATTGTGACAGATTATTAAAAGAACAGAGAGGCTGGCAGCCTCATTGCCCGTGGAAATCACTCTTCTCCAACTCAGTGCTCACCAAAAGTATTGGACTGTAACTCCTAACAGCTCAGGGAACAGTGGGATACATGGACCCACAGAAGGCAAGCTGAGCAAACTTTGGCAAACTTGCTCCTTTGCTTCAAATGATGTGACCCTTGGCTGTGAACAGAAGCAGCATTTGATCTGTTTGAAAAAACACCATGGCGGTTTAAAAATGCAAGAACGAAATGCAGTAGAGAATTGGTGAGCCTGGGTGATAGATGGCAGTTTGGAGAGAGCTACCAATGGATAGGACTGCAAAATATAGAGATAAATGCCAGAGGAGGGTATTGGAAATGTAAAGGTGGCTGCTGCAACCACACCAGAGTGGTTTTCAGCCAGTTCTGACTGGTTCTGGAGAAGCAGTAGTGGAAGTTTTGAGTAGTTCAGAGAACTGGTAAATACCACCTCTGGCTGGCCCTGCCCCCATCTTTTCACTGCCTCCTGAGTCCCAGCTGATCGGCTGGGTCTCCTTCTGTTGACTTGCACAGGAGAACGGAGGTGGAAAGCAGGTTAATGGGGTGGGAAGGGAATGAAGATTTTGCAGTATCCTTCCCCTCCCATATCTACCAAGCCACGCCAACCAAGCCATGCCCACAGAACTGGTAGTAAAAAAAATTGAATCCCACCACTGAACCACAGTTAGAGCTGGCCCTTTTTTTACGTGTGTTACATGACCGAGGGGGCTTTAATCCCACAGTCACAGCCTCCACTGGATTCTTTTGAGCCTTTCCCTGAAGAGATACTCCTGTTGAATAACAATTGAAGTCAGAGGGAGAGCCAGAAGGCTGAGGTGGTCCTTTGAAATCCTCCTTCCAGAGGTCTGTTTTGCATTTATCTCTCTTCCCCAGAAGGACCCGGTAGTGATAAGCACTGGTTGGCTTCACACAGCTGTAATGCTGGGTTGGTCAATGTGGTGGTTGAGTTTCCATCATCACCCTGAGCCAAATTCTATAGTTTCATGCAACATCTGCAAGAAACAAACCAAGCTCAGAGAGCACTGAAAGTCTCTGCAATTCAACCCTGAGCTACAAGCACTCTTTTTCCATTCGTTTCATTTTAGGCCAACATTTTGGG